CCATAATCATTAAATGAAAACGCTGCCAATCAGACTCTCAAGACCAAGGCTAGTAAGCATAATCGAAACTTGTTTTCATGCATTTATTTGTAATAACGAAGATATTAACCAAGAAGCCAAAACCACTGCGTGAGCGGCGTCGCCCCTGTCACTCCCCACGGCGAAGGCCCGGCCGCGCAGCCCGCAGCCCACGCTCACCTTCTCGTGCCACTGCAGGAGCACGGCGCTGCTGTTGTCGGAGGGGCTCTCGAAGCCTTTGTAGATGTACTTCATCAGGAGGTCCACGCCGTTCTTGTCCAAGGACTGCACTGCCTTTTCAATGTCGTTGGCTTTAAAGGAGATGAGCACCTTCAAGACGATGCTGCCTGCCCGGTCCTGAGGGTAAATAATGACAGGACATTTAGACGTGTGTGTGTGTGTGTGTGTGTGTGTGGGGGGGGGTTCGAGTTCTGCCACGGCCACAGTGCCAAGGAGTAAAGACCCAAAGGACGTGAAAGAGGAGACGCTGGGGACACCAAGGAAAGTACTCCGGAGAGAGGAAGGAGCGAGTGCTGTTTGCGTGTTCAAGGGCGGGCTCACAGACCCGAGGAATTCTGGGGGAAGAGCCGGACAGACAGTGGGAGCGTGGGAGCCCCGCAGGCTGCTGTGGGGACTCCGCCTTATGACGTTGCAAGGTTTTGACAGGAACAGTGACATAACCTGCTTTACATCTGAGCAGGATCACGTGGCTGCATGTTGAGGGTAAGCGGGGCTGAGGGGCGGTGGCGCTGGGGACAAGGCAGAAGCAGGGACACCAGTTAGGAAGTTACTGTGATGCCACAGGCTGGATGTGGCTATTGCGGCGGCAGAGGAGGTGGACAACAGTGGACAGGTTCTCGAAATATTTGAAAGGAGAGCCGAAAGGATTTGCTTGGAGACGGATGTGATCATTTACCAATTTATTAAATCCAGATTTTAAAAACTGTTCTTTGAACTATCCTTCTGAAGTAACTTATTAATCAAACTTAGTTTCATGTCTATGGTCAAGAGATTATGGGATGTAAGATACAGTGACCTTCACTTATAACAATCTTTTTTTTTGGGGATAAAACACTAATCCAAGAGTAAAGTTATTTTACACCCATTAAGCCAAGCAAAGAGAACACTAAGTTTACCCTTTCAATAATTCATTTCTCCTCCTACTCAAGACAAAGTAATACTTCCAGCAATAAATACTGGTCAGGATTTTACAGAATGTTTCTACCTCCTACCGTTACCTTCGGTCTGAACACTATGCCATGAGCAACTGAGAAGGCATCCTCCACTCCAGAGCTAAAACCTCCCCCTCCCCCCGTGACTAAAAACCACTCATACAAAAGCAGAAGGTGGTACAATGGAAATGCCTCATGACTTTTAAAAACCAAGAACTTTTTCCCCTTATAAAATTATATAGCCTAGACAATGATGGTGCACTTACCCTAGTTATTACTATTCAACTAAGGAATCCTCAGGGCTCCTAGGATGTATGAATAGTGATGTATAGCGGGGCCAATGCTCTAGGCTTCTTTTGAAACAAGAAAATACCAAAGGAAATAGGTTCTTTGAAATGAGGGAAAAGCTGTTCCGGGGAGGTAACTCACACGGCTTTCAGAAGGGCGGCGTGGCAACACCACCCGTATCAGAAGCCTTAAAAACATGCATTCCAAAATCCAGGGGTTCACTGCTAGGGATTTATGCAAAGGAAATGGATAATTTACCCAGAATTGCTCACTTCAGTACAGTTTATGACAAAAGGAGATTAGTTCATCAATGAACTGCAGCGTATCTATATGTAGCAATTAAAAAAAATGTTATAGAAATAAACTTTTGGCCAAGGAAGGATGCTCATGTGCACTGCTCTACTACTAAAAAAGCAGGTTATAAAATTCCTTATTAAAAGAACAACACTCATAGAAAAGCAAACAGTTTGAAGACTTGCTGAGCAGGTGGCACTACAGAGGGTTTGGGTGAGTACGCTCAGGCGTCAGCAGAGATCAGTGATTGGCTGGGACTCACCTTCACTGCCTGACTCTTGGTGTTGATTGGGGGGTTTTTCAGTGCTGCCTGCAGGGCGGCGGTCATGTTTCCTGTGATGGAGGTTAAGGGGGAAGCAGCAAAGGGCAGCCCTCGGGAAAGCCCTGTAACTACCAGGAACCAGTGGTTCTTAAGACTTCACTTTATGCACAGAAAGAAATGTCACTATGTCACTATGTTCAGTACTGGAAAATTCAACATGTTGGTTTCAAGTATGTCAATCAAACATAAAATACTGAACACAAAAAAGAACGTTCTGTTATTTTTTTAAGAATAAAGACCATTTCCTCCTTGGTTTTAATTACGAAATGAACACTTTGCTAGCTTCTCATTTTCTAGTAAGACACATATGAAAACATTAGTAATGAATATTCATTAAAAAAAACCCTCTAAAATATGTAAAATTATTATTAGGACCCAAACTGAAAGAGCCTACCCTCAACCAAAGCATGTCTTTTTATGTGATTCTAACTGAAAAAATAAAAGATCAAACTTTTGCTACAATTATATTCTACATGAATTGAAACGCTAACAGGAAATGCTGGTCAATTACTAATCTGAATGACGCACAGCACATTAGGAAGCTCTCAATATTGATGAAAAGAGGCATAAAACATGTAACTCAATGAGTCTAGGGGACAACTTAACTTTCCGTTTTGGGTATTTTCTCTTGTACTTCATAAAGATTATTCAAACTGCCTTAGGCCATACCTATTCAATTCAGTTTCTTTTTGAAAGCACCAGTGGGTTGGCATGAAACACGGAAGGCCAATCAGACCGTCAGAACATACAGCCATTCCCCTAAAAGGAAAACCACACAAAGCTCGCTTGTTCCTCCATCTGTACTGCCTGACTAGCATCTGTCTTTTCTGCTTGTAACCAGAGTAGAAGAGACAGCATCTCCATGAGCAGATCCACTCTATGGGTACAGCAGCCCCAATGAAGAGCCATCCTGTATCATCTTAAAATAAGTTAGTTTCATGAGCATCATTCCTCCATCACAAAGAGTGTTTTATAATGTTCACCACTTATTTCCTGAAGAAAAAAAACAACTATGGTTGATGGTGAGCTGTTACTTTCAGGGTTTAATAAACTTCTAGAAAAGCAGGCCTTTTGTACACTGGTTCCTTTTTTAAGATCCCAAACATTTAAGTACTTAAATAATTCAAAAGAGCATCAGCAGACTGTGAAATCAAAGAAACATCTGTATGCTGATAAATGTTTAAGGGTGTATTTTAGGTGCCTTTAAGACCAAATATAGCTCCTACCAAATATTATCACTCATCTATTTCCCCATTATAATTTAATAGGACATTGATGAGGAGAGTCTACAAAGCCTTCCTTATGAATACACTCGAGAATAATTAGAAATGAGTGGATTCAGTAATTGAGAATCTAAAACTACAGCTTTGGTTATTGCAACATTTACATTTTTCTAAAAAAGAGCTGATGCAAATGTTCAGTTATGAATATTCAAGTATGCAGAAACCAAGCCCAGAAACTGGCAGCCACATTTTATCTAAAATGGTAATGATTTCAGACTTATAAAAACTGTTCTGCTCTGTACAAATGGCTACTCTTTTTCTATTTTATTTTTGGGGTTTATTTAAGTATTTCAAGGGACTCTCCGCCTGCATTGTCTTCTTTCTATCCTCTTTTGCTCAGCAGGTAAAGCCTCCAAGCTTTCTTCTCGGAGTTTGGGTAGTTTTGTACTCACACCCTTCCCCTGGTTAACAAATTCTGTGCAACCGGTATTTAGTCAAAACATCTTTAAAAAACAACAACAACAAAAAACCCCAGGCCGAGAGGACAGAGCCTCAGGCAGCAAACTGCCCCATCTCTCCTGGCAAAGAATAAACTGTCCTAAGGCTGCCAGAACAAAACCATCACAACAAACACACAACCACTAAAGATGCCCATTCCTGCCCGAGAGAAATTCCTGGAGGTGACGTGACCCCAGCAAACAGCGCTCGGGAGGAAAACTTCAGCGCCCTGATCAGTCCTGATCAGCCCAGGTGCCTTCCCAGCGCCGCCAGGGCGCGGCCGGCAGAGCCAGGGTCCGGGAGGCAGGACTCCTGGCGCAACCTGAGGAATCGCTGGGCGTGGGAAGGTGCACGGGCAGAGCTGGTACCCGAGGGCGGACCCCTGGGGTCTCGGGGCGCCCCGGTGAGAATCAGAGAGCCCTGTCACTTCGGAATGGGGGACCCCAAAGACACAGGTTGAAGCCGCCGGCCCCCGCAGCCAGTTCCGCGCCAGTTCCCCGGGAGGGGCCCGCCCCCTCACACCTTGCAGGCGCGAGGTCCCGGGGGCAGGGCCGGGCCTGGCGGGGTGGGGACCTAGGGGAATGCAAGGATATTGCCGCAGGCAGGAGTCCACCTCGCCCTCGTCCGGCCCGGCCTGCCCGTCGCCCCCATCTTCCTCGTCCACAAACTTGTTCTCGTCGTACTCATCCACGTCCACCTTCCGGAACCGGGCCGACGACACCGTGTTCTTCGACATCCCCGATCCGGAGCGGTGGCAAAGGCCTCCTTTTGGTGCTGCCTCTTGTTCAGCAAGCACAGCCCGGCTGGAACCCGAAGCTTGGTGCCTTCACTTCCCTCTTCCGCTCTGGGGCGTCGCCGGCAGCCCCAGCTCGGGCGGTTCTGGGCCTGCGCGCTGGCCACAGTCCTTCCTCCTGAGGTTCTTGCTGTGTTCAAGCCTCCCACGCCGCCCAGGCACTCCGGGGGGAGCGCGCGAGAGGTAGGGAGCGCGCTAGACGTAGTGCGCAGGCGCGGGTTCTCCGCAGAAAAGGGGCGGGGCGGAGCGGAGCTGGGGGCGGGGCATGGGAGGGCACAAAGAGCTGTCGCGGGCAGTGGTGAAAGGCAATTGGTCTTTCGACTCAGCCACGTGACCCATGGGGGTTTCCATAGAAACGCTTCTCTGCGGTCCAGTCTCGGGGGTCTTAGGTTGGCTGCGATGGACCCTGGAGGCGGTTGGCCTTGGTTTTTGCTTTCACTGCCGCTGCCAACGACTTGTCATCCGGGTCCTGCGTAAGGTCCGGCTGGGCCGGGCTTGCGCGTGAGGTGGGATGGACTGGTTGTCGGACCGAGTCCCCTGCAGTTGGCAGGAGTATGGGGTGGAGTGATGCACTGCCGGGCGCCGAGCATCGTTCCACTTGTCGGAGACATTGCTCCGGACGGCGTTCTGCTCGCGGCTGCGTGCCCGAGCCGGGAGCCCCTTTCCGGGGGTTGGAACGACGCAGCGCGGCCAGCGGGAGATCCCCAAGGACAGAATCGAAAGGTCGCATCTTCTCTGTCAGTGCTGTGTGACAGCATCGCAACGGCCCCTGCAAAGCCTGAACTAGGTATCACGTCCATCGGGAGGGAGGGGGAGGTGTCTGGGCAGGGGCCGGGTCAGAGGGCAAAACTGGGGTGAACCTGTGGGATTTGGGGCAGGGTCATCGCTGGCATTTTAAACAAGTGGTTATTTGGGGCAAGAGTGCCAGAAAGCTATAGTCGGGGCGAGTTAGAGTCTCCAGTGCTGAGAGGAAACAAAATGTGTGAGAATTAGTGGACACTAGACCCTTAAGATCGATATTTGTGATTTAAGATTTTTATGATCCCTTCAGGCCAGCTTTTTATTTTATTTGCTACCCCCATTTCTGAGAGCATAGCTCTTAGTGGAGAGGGAAAGGCACTATAATGGAAGAAATGGTAGTTGTGCTGGGAGTATAACACTGAAGTATAAATATTTTCAGAATAAAATGAACTTGGACATTTGGCTAGACACTTAGATGGCTCTATGTTTTCCTGACCTCCTGTGAGGTCTGGTTTAATTGCACCTCTAGCAGAAGGCCGGAGGTTGCCCTGTTAAGTACTCCAATTCGTGGTTTCCTGTGCTGTTACTGAAAACGGCACTGGGCTTATAATCAGTAAATCCTGGCTTGCGTTTTGATTCTTCCACTCTCTCTGTTTGGTTGAGGCATGCCACTCAAAATTCTGGATCTCAGGTTCCTCACTGCTAAAGTGGGGTTAATAATGTGTACTCAACAAGATTGTTCTGAGCGTTAGATACAGGGAAGTGTTTTGAAGCTATAAAATTTGACATGTGCAATGCATGGTACCTGTACGTTGATTTGGGTACTAATCATATAAATTACTTCGTGCTATATTGTGGTTTTACCTTGTTCCCCCTGGAAGAGAAGGGAAGATTCTGGAGTGTGAGGTTGTCTTATATTTCTTTTGTATCTTCCTTTTGGGTCTGGAAGGTACTCAATACATTCAGGTACTCAATTATTCCTTGGTGAATGAATACAATGGGAAAGGCATGGCAGTTTGAGAAACACATTGAGAATAACGAACCAGTGAAAAGAGGGAAAAAAGATCTCATAATCAAATATTATACATATATACACACATATGTATATATAGCATATAAATACATATATGTATGTATAATATTTTATTTTATAACATTTCTATATGTTATATATACATATGTGTGTGTGTGTATATATATAGAGAGAGAGAAGAGAGAGAGACAGAGACAGAGACAGAGATGAGAGACAGAGACAGAGGGGCAGTGAGAGAGAACCTTCAGGAATGCATCTTTTTTTTGTGGGGGCGGGGGGAGGGAGAAGCAATGTTGCACTTTTCCCAATTAAATTACCCGTCTAAAAGGTATATTATTTAGGTGATGAAGTGACATTTCTTTAAATTAACGTTTAAGTTATGAATAAACACGCTGGTAAAAACTCCCCCAAGGGCTGTCTTAAGGCAGCAAAGGAAAATTTTCTACCTGTTGGTAGTCTTTATTTTAAAAACTCTTATACCGAAGTATCAGATCATTACTATGGTGAATGGCATTATATAACTTAGACTAAAGATTATTAAATATTTATTTCAGTTTCAATTTTTTGCTGACTTTCGTAAGAACTAAACTGTATACTTGTTTGGATGCTACAGAGGATTGTACCTTTTGTTCTTCTAAATCAAGATTTTTTTTGAAGAGAAAATTGGACATTAGAAGCACTGTTGAGACCAAATGGAAACAAGGATTCAAGAGCTAATACAGCCCTTCTCTTAACATTTCTATTCTTTTGTATTAGGTCTTAGTGAGGAATTCCTTTATTGTCTCATTTCAGAACTGAGAGAGAATTCCTGAGTAGAAATCAACTTAAGGGAATAATGAAGGAAATTTTAAAAAACTGAGCTGCTCAAGGGTATAATTGCTTTTGATTGCTCAGAATTTTGCTCTATATGTTCAATGTGTTACATACAATGAATTAATTCTCAGCCACGCAATGCACATTACATTTGAGGTATAATAATGCCCAAAATGTGCTTTTCCAATGCAGTATTATTTATCGTCTTACAATAAGTACCTTGTACATAGTAGGTAACTTAATGTTTCTATTTAATGAATTGATAACCTGAGAAAATAATTTTGGACTCATGTAGAGACTGTGTATATTTTAATGAACTCATTCATTACCCCTCTAAAGTGTGAGGGAAGGTGGTTTGATTGTGGGTGGCGGGCACACAGTGCCACACACAGATCTAGTACCACAGAAACCTGTGCTTGAAACCCATAGGATCGTGTGCTATGATCCTATTAACCCGTTTCACGCCAATAAATTCAACAAAACATTTCTGTGCATGAAGAAATCTGTCCTTAATTATGTTTTCATTAGAAAATATGCATCATTCCATTTTCTTGCAAATTACAAATAGCTAAAATTAATCATGGTACTTCATTCATGTGGGGCAATATTATTCTCTCTATTTTAATTTTTCAAAGAAATGCTTATCCCTGAAATAAAGGATCCGTGAGGATCCTTATTAAGACTTTTTATCCATTGTGCTAATAACCTGGTTTGATTCACTCCTAAAGTACGACTGAGTCTGAACTTTCTCGATGTTAATGCTGCCTGATAGGGTAGCTTCTTATCTTCTGTGGTAACTCAAAGAGCAAGGGGTCCTTTAGTCAGAAAGGGTTTTGGTAAAAGTATCCTGTAATAGGCTTTTCCTTTCGTATATTTTTAAACCAATACTCTACCTTCAGGGTGCTTCTTCCTCCCAGACTTGGCACTAAATACGTACAAACCAAGACCTTGAGTCCTGTAATGGGGCGGGATTATTTTTTGAAAGGGTAGTGAACTTAGTATTATGGGTTATAAATATAAAATAAGTTTCAGTTCTGGTCACGATGATTTAACTTCACTGTTCTTTAGGAACATAATTACTACAATAGAAAAAGATTTGTTAACATGTTACCCATAAACTGGATCATGGTAAAATGTTTTACTTAATGTCAAATGAACTGCTACTGAGTTGAAACCACCACCTTCAAAACTTGTTTTTTTCTTTGTGATTAATTTTAGCCTCACATAATTTTATGATCACACATTGAGGTAGATTTATAGGATCAACTATTTTACAATAAGACCTGTATTTCTATATGTATTAGTACTTCAAGGATTAAAAACTTAAATTTGTACTCTTGTCTCAGGAAAAAATTTTAGTGCTAAATGAAAGAATAAACCTTGTGTGTTAAACATTTTTGTGAATGGGACTATATTTCTATAATTTTTACTTGCTTATGATAATATAAACAGAAGCTATGGATTTAAACATGTATTTAGTTCATATTCTTTTACATTACTGGGGTCTGTTATTAATGCTAACAGTTGTTTTAAGGTTATGTTTCTTGTCACAGTATAGAAACATAATTTTTGAGATGATAATTTACATCTTCTCCAATATTAGTATCACATTTATTTTTCTTATCTTGTTGCATTAGCTAGGCTCTCAAAACACTGTTAAAAACTTGGGTGATAGTATACTTCTCTTCTTTGTTTCTATTTTAATGGAAATGTCTTTGGTACTTGATTAGTTTATATTTTCTCTTGCTTTGTAATTTTAGGCATGATGGCTGAAATTATCAAATGCTTTTTAGGGGGAGCTAATGATAACAATCGTGTAGTTTTTGATTCTTTAATTTATGAACGTAATGAATTATATTTATATATTTTTCTGCACTGAACCATTCTCACATTGCTTAGAATAAACTCTATTTGGATACTATTTTAATTGCTTGCTAGATTTGATTAGTGTTCATTTTGTTTATATGATTTCAGAATCTTTAAGATTGGTTCATAGTTTTATTTCTTGGTACTGTCTTTATCTGGTTTTGCTATTCTTGTTAGTCTAACTTTGTAAGATGAATTGAGAAGATGTCCTCCTTTTCTTCCTCCTATGCTCTGGAATATTTTGAATAATACAAAGTTGCCATGGTATTTTTTCTTTGAAAGTTACAGACTGTGCTTACAAAATGTCTAGGCTTGCTGGTATGTTTAAAGGTAGATCTTTGATCCTACTTATCTTTTGTAGTTATTGATTTGTTTGGTTTTCTTTCTCTTTTTGAATCAATTTTAGAATTTATGTTTTCCTAGTAAATCATGTATTTCATCTGGATCATCAGTTTATTGGCAAGAAGTTGCAAAAAATATATACTCTTACAATTATTCTAGTTTCTTCCAAGACCATGGACATATGGTCTTGCTACTACAGATTACTAAGCAAAATATTAAAATCAACATTTTTTTCTCCTCCTAACCCGATTGTCACAAATTCTACAAACATACTTTTACTTCTTACAGAAAATAGTCATCTCAGACTTATAGTTTTGATAAAAGTTTAAAGATTTCACAATTCCTATCCTTTTCTACTATCATCCTATTAATATTTTTTTTAGTAAAGCAACCACTTGATGAGTGTTTATTGTTTGTTAGGCACTTGGCTAATAACCTCTTTACTGTACTTACAGTATTTATTTAATCCTTGGAGTAGCTCTATGGCCCAGGAATTATTGTTCCCATTTTATAGATGAGAAAATTAAGGCTCAGAGAGTTTAGGTACCTCAGTCAACGATACTCAGCTGGCAAGTAGCAGACTGATACGGAATTAGGACTGTCAGATTCTGAAGCTTGCGCCTCAATCACTCCATGGAATTTCTGCTCTGATGTCTGCAAATAGAGCTGAAAGGAACCTTAAAGACGATCAGCTCCTGTCCCTTGTTTTTCAGATGAGTAATTAGAGACGGCTTACGTGTCTTTATGCTTACTCAACAGTCTCTGGTTTAAGGAGTGACTGTACTGGCCTGGACCCATGACCTGTCTACATTCTTCGTTCTAGCCCCATTCTTAATCAACCAGTGCAAAAAATTTAACTACTCAGATGCTTTTCTTTCCTATAGTTCTGGCAACACTTCTTTCTATATACCATTGATGTCCAGGTGCATATTTGAAATACCTAGTAGGATGATTGGGAGGATTAAATGAGTTAGTACATGTCAAATACTTAGAAAAGTACTTGACATGTAGCTCTCAGTAAATGTTAAGTAGTCATATTATTTCTAATTAGTATAGGTTACCATGTAGCTTTCCTTGGAAATAAGATGAATAACATTTCATTTTGTGACTTAAACATTTTGGTTTGTATGGACTATGAATCAAAAAAGAGTCATAAGACTTCAAATCAAAAAAGAATCAAAGAACCGTGAGAACAGTTTAAAGAGAGAGGCCAGCAGAATTAAAATGTAGCTTTCTGAAACATCCTTGGGCCTCCTAAACCCTGTCCAAGGGACAGGTGCCCTTGTGTATACACACCATTCCATTTCAAGTGGCAGATGTCCATTCTAATTTGGCTTCTCCTGTAGTTTATCCACATGGCAGAGCTGGTTGGCTGGACAACTTGACTGTCTGGTTGCACAGCCAGTTGTAACTCTCACTGGAAGTCAATGCGTTCATTAGCTTTCTGCTTTTACACATCAGTCTGGGGAGCTCCATTAACCCAGGTCTGCTCCTGATGAATAAACCCGCTCTCTCTGTATTGACTAAGTAGTAGTTGAACTTACAAAGCTGAGAGTCTAACCCTGGACCATGGTAGACAGACCAAGGTAATGCTCCCATCCTCCACCCTCATCAGTTTCTTGGGATATACCTCCCTGCCTTTTTTAGGTCACTGTACCCACTAGCTACTTTCATTTAGTGGCTTGTCTTTTCTTTACTGGAATTTCCATATGTGTGGTGACAGCGATAATTCTTCTAGATCACCATCTCCAGTTTGCTGAAGAGAGGCGGAGCATCCCACTTCTACTCTTCCCTAAATCCCTGGCCCGGCCTGACTCAACCAAGAGCCTGTGTGAGGTGAGTCAGAGACCTGTTGTTGACTGTACGAGCTCACTCCCTACAACTACTGCTCTGTGTGCTGGTTTGAGCAGATAGAGCTCAAAGGAACCTTCGAGATGATCTTGCTTATGCCCCTTACCTTTCAGAGGAGGCAGTGGTACTTACCGAGGGCCATCTGCCTTTCTGCCGTCTCGTTGTCTGTCGTCTAAGCCTTGACCATGTTGGCCTAGGGTCATGACCTCTCAGTAACATTCTTCTTTGTAGCCCCAGGGTTAACTTCCCAGCACAAAAATGTAACTGCCCCAAGCACTTTTCTGCAGTTCTGGCAACACCTCTCCCTTTGTTAAAATTTGTTAAAAGTTTCCGGTTAACAATAGAAGTTTCTTTTAAATTTTTTATTTTAATCACAACAGAAATTTCCATTTTAAACATTTTTCTTTTAAGAAGAAAGTGAGGCAGCAAGTGGGAATAAATTAGACACAAATGAAGTGGTGTAATGTATATGCTCAGAGGGTTAAACAGTACTTTCTAAGAAGTGTGTTTCGAACAAGACTTTAAGAGAAGGTATAGATATGCCTTGGTGGAAAAAAGCGCTCAGAAAAAAGGAAGTAAAACAAATGACCAGTATGCACTGGGAGGCTATATCGGAAGAAGGAGGAATGGATGCTAACAACCACAAAAAATACGTCCATGGCAAAATAGTGCCGGGGCCCCTCGGCTAGAATGGAGAAGAATGGTGGGGGGCGGTGACTGGTAGTTTCGAGATGTAGATTCACAGTCTTGCTCCCTGTACGTTGCCTGGATACTGTGCTAGATCCTAAAAGGAAACTAAAGAAAGGAGACAGTCCCGACCTATAGGGACTTACAATCTCCCTGATGAGACAGGGCACCAGGCAGGCGGAGGAGGAGACTTGAGAGCCAGTAGCCAGTAGGAGCGTCTCGGGTGTTACCTGGTGTGAGGCGGAAGGACTCTCCGGGAGTCTCCTGGCCACGCTGCCTCTGCTCAGGAGGAAGAGGCTGGGCTGGGAAAGATCGCCCTGAGCAGGTGGCTGTATTTCAAACATCAGTTTTTGTAGCTATAGCGACTCAATTAGCAGAAGAACTTTTTCCCCACATGAAGCTCTTTCAAGCCACTTTAGAAAAAAAATGGGCTGCCTAAAATCTCCTGTCCACAATGAACAGTTAATGGAAAATCACTGATAGGCTTTTGCCAACAGCACTTAATGCCAGTAACTTCAGGCTGTTTTCCAGTTTTACAGTAAATTTTTGCAGCGAAACCAATTTAGGAGCCCATTTAGTCCCCAGGCTTTTTTAATGGAAAGATGACATGAGTAGACCAGAGCAATGACATTTTCTTTTTCACACCAAAATACTGGCAAGGTGCTGATCCTCCCTTGGATCCTGCCACTTGCAAAATAAAGGAAAGATATTAAGTTGCCTAGGTTTAAAATAGTGTCGCTTTGTAACAGTTGAGAGGGTAAATAATTCAGGTTTTGCCTTTGGCATATCAGTTCATCTCCATCTTGGCTCACGCCTAAGAGAGGAAGTTTCCAGATTTTTGTTGTCTACTGTGTGAGTCCTCCGGTAATGTATTTGGTCTTATGTTGTAGGAATGTAGACGTTATTTCTCCCTTTCCCTTTCTTCTTCTTTCCGTCTGCCTTGTTACTTACAGACTGTTCTGTGATGTCCACCGTCTCCAATGGCGTGGCAGTGGCCGGCCTTTGCAGGTCCTTGGTGTCCTGGAATAGCATTTGGGGCATGTTTAAGTGCCTGACGACGTTCCTGGGCTTATATGGGTTTTGACCAACGTGGATGGGCGGTAGATCCCTGACAGGCACGAGCACAAAGACCACGGGGACCCTGAGGTCTGGCATCAGGCCGGGCTGTGGTCCTGCACTTGTCACTTGAAGAGACTGTGCAGGAAAGACACTGTTGAAGGCGGAGCTGCTAGCAGCTGCCTGAGCGGTTGCATCCTGGTCCTCTGTCGTCTGGGAAAGGACGTCAGTGAAATGAGGTTTCACTCCTGTTATGGCACTGATTTCATAGGCATTGCGCCTATCGGCCAGCGCTCTCCCCTTTAGAATGGGCGGGAAGACAGTGGATCTGAAACCGTTCACAAAGTTGTGGAGGAGAAAATGCCAGATCCCGCCACTTATTGGGCTCAGAGTGACCCTCGGCCCCAGACTGGCCAGGCTCCGGAGAGCTTCCCAGTTCCACGCCGAGGCCGGAAAATCAGGGTCAGTGTGATAGAGCTGAGAGAAGTAAACACTCAGAGTGACGTCCGGGTACGTGACCAGGAAGTTGTACATCTTGCTGACACAGCAGTGGGCAGCTTCGTTGCAAGGGGAGCTGCTGGAATACAGCACGATGTGCCTGATGCCATCGTTATTGTAGGCGGCCACGTCCAAGTACCCGTTCCTCTCGAATAGCATTGATTCCGGGTGAGTAGCATTCGCGGTGCAACTGCTAACGTGCCCCTTTTGCACCAGCCTCCCACTGGAAGTTTTCAGCTCATAAAACAGGAGGTGTTTCGTTTGAGGATGTGTTGGCCCATAAGGGAAGCCAAAAATCTGATAGAATTCTGCGTAGGAAACGCGTGCTTCCTCACCTGTCCGAATATGGTAAGGACAATCGGAGCAGTCTGGAGAGAAGCTTAGCCAGTAGTAAGGTTTCACTGTGGTTCCGCGATTTGCCAGGTATTCCTCAAATAGTGGCTCCATCTCTAGTTCTGTGGTCTTCTAGCCTCAGTCCTAAACGAGGAAGAGGAATTATACATAAAAAACCAGCGCAGGGGAAACTAAAGGCAGCACATTGCTTTACTGAGTCACATTTCTCTTTAAAGCAGGTAGTGTGATAACCATGGTAACGTCTTTCAGTCTGAAAGATAATAATATATATCCATTGCTTAGAAAGCTCAGGATTCGTCTTTGTTGAGACTCCTGGGGAGGAGGAGGAGGAGGAGACAAAGCAGAAAGGCATTAGGCACCTTCTGCATTTTGTAGATTCTGAGGCAGAAGAGCAAAGGGTTCATGGTGATGGTGGGTGGGGCGGGGATGGAGGTGAAAGAGGTGGAAGGGGCATGAATGGTAAGGGAAGAAGTACCAGTAAGACAAAGTGCCAGATGAGGACTCTTTGGGCTGCGGACACTCATTCATCCACATCTGAGAGTTCTATTTCCAGTGGGTGGGTCTCGTGAGAGCGTTTTGGAAACTTGACTCTCCTGAAAGCAAATACGGTTCTTCAGGACATTTCGGATAGATTCTGGGATGTTCAAAACCGGAGAGCTGAGATCTTTAAGTGGGTTTTTTCCTTTTAAAAATATTCCTGTAGTCATCATTGTTCCCAAGCAACGGCCTCTAGGGCATTATCATATAGTTTAGAAATATTTCATAATACTTTTTATTATACAAGCAGCACATGAGTCTTGAAGAATTTTCGGTAACACTGACCCATAAAGGAAAAATAAAACTCACGCCGACTTGTAGCAGTCCACACTTGCACTGCCACGGACAGGCCTGTTCCCTTCGGTGTGTTTGCTGTGTGTTTGTTATACATGATACAAATAAAGTTCTGTTTTATACTGCGCTGCTTCTTTTAGTAATAGATCATGAGCATTTTTTCATGTCATTGAAATTCTTCAAAAACCCACACCATTAAAGGCTAATGAGTGTTTTATTATCTAACGATAGCATTCAGGTTCTCGTGTCTTGTTATTATAAATACCACTTGGATGAACGTTTCTTTAAAGAAAGCATTCACATCTCTGATTCTTTTCTTCCACTAGAAGTCCTCTGATCTGATCAGACTTTCTCACATCGCTTCCTAGGAAGGTGGACGGGCTCTGTCCCACCCTCTCCCAGGGTGGGTCGCAGCCCTCTTGGCCACCTTGAGAACTTGAGTATCTCTCTGTGGTTAGATTTGTACCGTTTCGGTTCCTGGTGAGGTCGAACGCCTTTTCACATGCCTATTGGCCTGTAGTTCTTCCTCCTTCGTGAGGTGCATTTGATCCCTTACCTTTTTTGTGTGTGTGAGTTTCCTTATTGGTTTACCAGCACTTCCTGTGTCAGGAATACTGGCCATCACATGTGTCGCATGTACGTAACCGGGTTATAGAGCCTTTTCGTGACGCCGATGGCACTGTAATTGCACTAAATTTTCATTTTTATGCCATCTACATTTATCTTGATGATTTATTTTTTCACGAATGCATCCAGAAAAGACTTTCCCAGCAAAGAGGAGTTAAGTAATCCCTATATTTCCTTCTAATGCTGTGGTTTCATTGTTTGCATTTAACGTTTTGTCCAGGTAACAAAACAGATAAAGCAGAACATTTAAAAGCGATAAAGTGATCATTGGAACAAAGGGCATTTTTCACCTTTCAAAGTCTCATTTGTAATTTCAGACGTGTCTGTGTGTTACAGCCCCTGGGAGGGGGACGCTGTGATCAGCTTCCGTCCGCCTCGGCCCAGACCGCCGCAGCCGGCGCTGGGTCGGGTCTGCAGGCAGAAACCTGCACGGCTCCTTATGTAACGCTGTCCCGGACTTCAGTCCAGCTGTGGATGGAATGGGACTTGACTTACGTCGCCATTATCGCAATGGCCAATACCTCTGCAGTCACTCTGGGTGTCACATGGTCATCACATTCGGGGTTTCTCCTAACCTCCGTCATGTCAACTCAGCCCACAGGAAGGGGGTTGGCCTCAGTCTCCTCCTAAGCGTTGTGTTTTTCTGCTGCCAGTGAATCCTGGCCTGAGGCTCCCTCGACCTCACAGGGCATTTCCTGGGGCCCCGGACTCCTTGGCCCGGGACCGATAACCTGGGGCCTGGCGCCATCTCCTGCTTCACCCTGAGCATGGATTTCTCCCAGCACCTGCTGCTCGCTCAGTCTTCCTCATTGACTGGGTCTGTCTGAACACCAAACCCCCCGAAACCCAGCCCAGAGTCTCACTGTCTTTTGGCTGCAGGCTGGTTGGCACCGGACAGCCGTCTTTGGGTGGCACACCTCACATCCAGGTTGCTGCTCAAATTACAATTTCAGTTCACCCACAGGAAGTTTCAGATTGGGGTGGCCAAAATGCATGGAAGCAGGACTGAGAGGCCCCTTTCTACCTTTTCGGGGGGGTGTTGGGTGGGCGGAGTTAACACCAAACAATGGTCCCAGGTTTGCTGTTTGGGGAAGCGGAGCTCTTTGCTTCTTTCAAGATAAAGGTGGAGTGGAAACTCCCAGCCGCTCTCCCACGCACCCCTTCCTTTGCCATCTTCCTCTCCTATGGCCATTCTAGCCACGAACGGTGCATCATCGTTGTCTTTAAGGAGGATCTGAGGGCTCACGGCCTTCATCCGTAATGGGGGGAGCTCCTGAGTCTCACTGTGCCGATGGCTGTCCGGTGCCAACCAGCTGTGGCTCTCCCTGTGGCCTGTGCTTGGTCTCCCTCATCGGAAGGGGAAATGGGGAAGAGCTGCTGCCCCCTTGGACCCCTGACAGAATTTGCGGTTCATTCATCAGTTAGCCATTGATACTGCTAACTTGTGGTGTCTGACCTTTCATTCTCCTCTAGTCAGCCAGAATGCCCTGGTGAGCCCAGGGCGGGGTTGGCCCAAACTCCTGTGTCCTTGTCCCCCCTTCCTTCTGCTTCCTGTGCCAGGGGAATGTGTCTTGCCCTCAAAGAGCAGATGTACTGGCAGTGAGAAGTGGAGACCTGTGTGACCCAGCTCCCTCCTCCTCCTCCTCCTCCTCCTCCTCCTCCTCCTCCTCCTCCTCTGGCTGGGAGCGGCCCTGGACTGCGGCCCTGGGAGAGCAGTCTGCCTTATTATCACCCAGCGAGGGCTTAGTAAGTGCTGGTAAAGCACAGTGGGCACCGGAGTAACTGGAGAGCGGAGTTAGCCCTTCCCAATCTGCGCACAATCTGTTCGCAGCTAAAAACAAGTGTTAGCAGTACGGTTACCGTCATCTTGTCTCCAGGCTCGGCTCACACTGCAGGCGTTCCCGGAGTTGCCTTTCCCCCTCTCCAAGTTCCCCGCTGCCAGGACCTTCAGATGGCAGCTGTGCTGTACAGAGTCCCGTCCTACGGTCGGTGCAGGACTTCTCCCTGGTTGGTGTCATCAGTTTGCTTGAACTTTGCTGTCCCGAGTTAGACAGACCTTGCTGAGGTGCGGCTGCTTCTAAGAACTCTGTTGAATTGCTGCCATGGTAACCTTTGCAAAATAGCCACTGCTAGGAAACGGCTCTGACACTTAGTGCTTCATTTGCATCTCAAACCACCTGTTCTGAAGATGAAAATATGCAGGAGTGCATATTCCAGTCTGGATGAAAAAATAATATCTGACTGTTCAAGTGAACATGCTGAGTTCTTCACTCCCCTCTGGCCTTAAGATTCAAGTTTCCTAGGACCTTTGTCCTGACGTAGAAGAGGTTCCAGGCTTGGCCTGCGGACGAGAGTTGCTGGTTCTGCAACTCTCAGGCTTGTGGGGGTTCCCTGGCCTCTCCAAGGGAGGTTTACCCTTCGGTGAGGGGGGGCCCAGACTCGAGCTCCCCAGAGGCGGGTGTTTTCTACTAACAGGCCACCGTCCCCGAAGAGGGGCTCTTTATTTTGGCCACACCCGGGCGAGTATGTGCTAGCAGTTTCTTCTAACAGGCTCCCCGGGAGACCCTGGCTGTCAGTATGGATGTGGTCCCTCCAGTTAAGACACAGTTGTGGCCCTTTCTGTGTGGCTGAAGGAAGAGCCACTCGTCCTTGTCCACCCTTTCCCCTGCCCCCTGCACCTCCACACCACCTCCTGGGACACCGGACGTGGCCATGGTGGTGCCTCACTCTCGGATGTTCCCTCTTTTCTCTCCCGCAGGCCACTGGGGGGGAGTGAGTGATGATCGCTGTCTCTGATCCCCCTCAATTACCCCCAGAATTCTTCCCTGTATATACTGCTCTAACAACCGCCCATCGGGGGTGATGGAAGCATCTGGAAGGCTTCCTGCAGCAGCGTCACCAACTCTTCATGTGTTTCTCGTGGTCGGACTTCCGGTCTCCACACCAGCACCAGCCCTTCCTCCCCTGCGTGGCTCCTTCTAGCTTGGCTATGCTCTGCCGATCAGTGTGTTTGTTAACTGCTCGGCCCCACGTCCCTCTGGCTCCTGGGCCCCCCCCCCACATGCTCACTCTGCTGCACCCCTCCCTTCCCCAGCTCCTGCCTCGGACCAGGCCTTTACTGCTCCCAGCTCTTGCCTCCAATTCCACAGTGTCTCCCAATTCAATGAGCTTGCAAATATAAAGCCAGAAGTTGACATACACTTATAAAAGTTATGCCATAAAAACAAAAGTTGATCCTCAAGGTTCACCTTTTATTTAACCTTAATAAACGATACTGCATTTAAAAACATCGCCTTGAAAACAAGCCTCTGTCCACTAGTATTTTTACCAGTTGTGTTTTAGGGCGATACTAGGGACAGGCAACTCGAAGTAGCCACCAGTTAGAAAATTAGCTCACGGGAGGTGTAGCTGACAAATAGAAATTGTATGTCCTTAGGGTATACGACCGGACCTTCTGGTGTATTCACACGCTGTGAAGTGATCACAACATCAGTCTGATTCACATACCCCTGATAGCGTTGTCTTTTTAGGGTGTGTGTGTGTGAGAGACACTTAAGCTCTAACCTTTCAGCAAATTTCAAGCGTTCGGTGCAGTATTGCTGACGTGGTCCCCGGCTCCACGTTGGGTCTGCAGT